TCTGGATTGTGGAGACTAGGTTGTTAACTCTTCCCTCCTTAAACGCGACGGTCCTCGGTCGGTAGATATAGAGGAAAATGCAAAACTGTGAATGTAAAACTGTAAATATAATACGTATAGGTGAATGAAATGAAATTGAAAGCAGGCATTACTTCATTGTTTTTTAATATATGTATATATATAATTAATATTGCATTAATTCATAGTGATTAAATTTCAATCTGCAAGGGTATACAAACTTCGGAGAAGGAGGAGCCTAGTCCTGAGACTAAAGCCAGTGTAGGGTTTAGTATCTCGACTGACGTCGGAGATCGATGAAGATGAGCTGCTGATGCCAAGTTAGGTTGTCACAGCTTCGTCGAGATCCAAAAGGGGCGCTTGCACAAGCACCCCCAGAGCTTAAGGTAATAAAAGTATGGCTCAGTTGGGCACCACCTCAGATCAATGTAACGACGGCACAGAGGAGCCGCAAATACAACACCAAAGCCGCGCTAGGGCTAACAGAGCCCGCTTCAATCTTAGTATGATAGCTCAGAACGCGACAAAAGGCAAAGTTCATCCCAGAGACGCAACCGATAACATCATATTCCTTGCGGTAATCGCGGAATTTGAAAAGTACCAGCAGGCACACCCAGAAGCCTTCCAGTCTTCAAATACGAAGCGCAATCGTTCACACGACGTGAGCGAGACCGCGCCGAAGAGGGGCAAAGACTACAATGCGTCTATTCGTAAAGCAGGCGAAAAAGTTTAGTGAGGTGGCCAGAGACGGTCTAGCTATGACTCTGGTTAATGAACTTAAAGACGAAAGACGCCTGGTGGCAGAAGTGGGAGGAGATAGAGGCCAAGTTAACTGATATGGTGACTGACAGGTTGGTTGCCATGCCGGTCCTATCCCCTTCCTCGACTCTTTAGAAGGGGTATGTGGGCACTGGGTGATCAGGTGCGACGATGGGTTTTTGAGAAGCTTCCTGGAGCCTAGTGTTGCTATCATTAGCATTCGGATAAGGCTAGTCCAAGCCAGGGAGATCCCGAGAAGACCCAGAGGTCGCATTTGACTACTAAAGGGGCAGTCTGATCATGCAAGGGTGTTCCAATGTCCAAAGATGAAGACGAGCCAGCCATTCCTTCTGCTGATAAATCAGGGAAAGGAAGGCTAAGGTCAAAATCTTCCTTACAAAACCGCATGAACTCCTTGAGGAAGTGGACGACCCCAAGAAGATGTTGAATGGCATCGTCATTAACGATAAGTCGCCTGACTCCACGCCAATTAACCACGATGCCGGAAATAGTGCAAATTAACCTGAACTGCAGCTTTGGCTAATTTGTCGATCCTTCTAAGGGAGAGAGTCATCGACATAACTATTAATAAAGTAACTTATGAGATTGTCACTAAAAAAGTATTAAATTTTAATAGCATTAAACTTTAGACGAAAAAAAAATTATGTGTAAGTATTACACTGTAGATGCATCTATTCTTTTACTTATAGCCTTTTTCTATGTACATTTCACTTTCGAATTCTTTTTTTTTGTCTCACTTCTGCATAGATAAATCTACGCAATAAAAAAAATTTAGGGAAAACGGTCAACAGCAATAAGAATAACAAGTAAAATAAGTTTGGCTATTAAAAAGGTCGTTGAGTAAATACTTTTGACTACCTTTGTATATATGTATATATAAACTGTATGGCTGAATGTTGAACGGATGTGTGTGTCTCTGATTAAGGCGACTCTTGATTTCTTTCCAGATAGGTAGACCTGGTAGTTGACAGTAAGTTGTTGTCGATAATATTGCTGTACTATGAGAGGGTACCGTACTGGCGGTGCATCAAGAAGAGGAAGGGGTACGGGAATCGTGAAGTCAACGACTAAGTAACGGCAGCCCTATTTAAACATCAAATTGTTGGTGACTGTGAGCGTGCCCTTTCGGTAATGGTCAGTGACGTTGCTTTAGGTGCTGGCTCTGATAAGTAAGCAGAAAACAATCGTCGTTTGTCTAATTGTTTTTAATGCTGACTTTGATTCGTGTGAAAGTTTTGTTTGAATTGAATGGAAATATAATTAATTTTAATTTTAATTCGATCGTGAGTTTGTTACTAATACAAGTAAATATTTCCGTTACGAAACGCTTTTATTTGGCAGCGTGATTGAAAAAAAAAAACACATCTACATGGGGCGGCGTTCGAACAACGAAAGCCAGTGATACAATCAAGTACAACAAAACAAGTACGTTTCGTCATTTCATAAAGGTCGTTTACACTTTTAAAGCTCGATACATTGGTGCCTTACAAGTTGAGTGATAAAAACCAATGGGGACCGCAATACATACAGTTTTTCGGAAAGGAGTTATATTTCAGAATGGAAAGGATTTTTTCCCCTTTATGCATATCACTTAGCAAAAGAGACTGTGCCTCCAGTGACAATTAACGATCCCACAGGACATTGATGTCTTTATCATGCGTCAGTCTGCATATTTCCTTCAATAACTATACATTAAATAATCACGAGTTTGGTTTTGTACTAAAAAGCAAAAAATAGAATTTGGAGTTCTGAAAATGTATAAAACGGATCACAAACCGAAAGAGTTTTTAAAGAGATACCGAAAAATAAATCATGTACAAAAACTACAATTAAGCAAATGTAATGCTGCTGTCACAAATGTGGATGTTGAAGAAGTCAAATGTACACAGAAGATATTTTCTGTTAATTCTCGTGTTAATTATCCGATATTGCTCAAATGTATACAAATGTTTATTTTGTAACGTAGTTCTCTGGCCGGAGTAGATCTCGGTCGCAGCCAAGGAACCTATACAAGAAAATTGTTATAGAAAGCTGGCAGTGACATAAGGAAGGCGTATATATGGGTATACATTAGGGCGGCTCGATTTCTAGGGGGTTAAAAAAATCGCTTAGGAACGTATGATTTTTGGTTTCTAGAGATGAAAATAAGAAAATTTTGCTCAAGAAACCATACATAAATTATAATGAACCTTGTTTTAACTTGTAGGTATCCAAAAGATCAAATTCAAAAAAATCCTGTTTTGACCCGTTTTGAGTTTCTCAATCGAGTCCTAAAGTATTACATGCTAGTGGTATCCCCAGTGGGACCCCCCTAGACGGTCTCCCATACAAAAATATCAAAAAATATTAAAAAATCACCATTTTTGGATATTTTACCCCCTTGGATGAATTTGAGACTAGTCTCATCGCATTCTACACAAAAAATTAGGGAGGGTCACCCAAACATTCCATTACCGTAGGATGCACCGGTGCCAAGATAAGTCCTTACCAATGCAACAAATATCAATACTGTTTTAATTCTTTTGCAATCTCTCTTAAACACATACTAATGTGCATTACTTTATATTGGAGTTACTTTTTTTGGAATTTGATCTTTTTGGTACCTACAAGTTAAAACAAGGGACATCCGAATTTATTTTAGAGGTATGGTTTCTCGAGCAAAGTTTCTTATTTTGATCCCTAGAATCCGAAAATCATATGTGCCTAAGCAATTTTTAAATCGACCCACCCTAGTATACATAGGACACTCCTATAGTATCGGTTGGGCCGGTTGGGTTTTAGCCTTCGCTCAGCTTGTCATGGTTTGTCTTGTCGACCCCCTCTCGAAAGTTGTCGGCTATGGCACGGTCACTGTTCAAAAAACGCGGTCACCCAGCGTGCTCGACTGCCACCGGGTAGGTATGGTGAGTCCAGCGTTCTGGACACGGGAAATAGCGGGCGCGGGATGTTCGCGGCAGTCCCGCTTGATTCAACGTGGCAGGCAAAGCATGGGCGGCTGTATTGGCAAGGATTAGGGGACTGTGGGTGACCGGTCAGCACCGTATTTGCGCGGTTAATCAAATGAAAGAATACCCAAAAACGATGCTAAAGGGAACACTCTCGGCCGTATGGGAATCCAATACGCGTGTCTCGCACACAGGTCGAGGGGTTGGGGGAGCGGAAGCAGGGCCCTTCTTGGCTTCTACAAGAGAAGGGAGGAGACAAGAGTCGGCAGTATATGACCACACACCTGTAAATGAATTGCGCAGTTATCGTGTATATATATACATATGTATTTATGTAATTTTGGAAAGTTTATTCATACTTGTAAGTTCTGGGTTCCTAGTACTGCCCTTACAAATGGAGTTTTTAACCGGTCTTTAAATTACCGACTTGTCCCATTGCTGAAAGGATAGCTGTGCCGAGCCGTGGTTTGAGTTGCACGTGTAATTTGTTCATCTTTCACTAGGTACACACCTCGGTGGCGGCGATAGAGACTGGAAATATAGATCCCCCTAGGGATCATATTTTACGTGAGCTTCTGGTTCCGCGAACATTTTGGCGATCGGTTCTGGATCGACTGGCCTTTTGATTATCCGATCGCGGGTAGAAGATTTGACTAACGTTTTAAAGCTACTATAGAACGTAACGAGGTGGCTTCAGTGCCGACTTAGCCTAATCTTAGATCTAACAACCCTAATCCCGAAACATGAACTATTTCTTATTACTATAACATGAGAATATATAACCTTAGGAACCATGTGCGCTATTTTTGCGCCTCCTCCACCTTATGAAAGGACGTTTGAATAAAAAGACATGCATTGGCTGAGTTTTTGTATGAATCAGATTTTATTTAGGCATATCTTGGATTTAAATGAGAATCGAATCTTAGAGTACATGGCACGCAGAGGCCTACGTAAATTCTGCCCTTATCAAGGACTTACTCTCCCGTGAGCTGCGAGGAACTTATATGTGGTCTCCTACTAAGTGACTCCCACTAAGAGACAGACAAACAGACTGACGAACGGACAGGCGGCTTAACGGAAGCGTGAACAGTCGGGCAGGCAAACGGACGCACGGATGGTAAAATTGAATGACAAAAAGGCAGACGTACACTAAACTGAAAGCACCAGAAAACAATAAATATTACATTTTAATTATAATTTATTTAATATAAATATATTAACCAACACTAATTTTTATACACTTGTAATTAATTTTAGGGATGGAATCGGAGATGGTCAGTTAAATATCTGTTCTAAATACGAAATTTCTCAATTTGAAAGTGTATGCAGAGATCGAATAAAAATATCTTTTATTGTAGTACAAAAGAGAATAAATACAAGGCTTTTTTCGGTAAGTTTGAATAATGTAGTGTAATGTATAATTCACATTTTAAAATTACATACAGTTAGAGGGTCAAAAAAAGTGAATTTTTTAAAGAGTTTTCTGAAGAAACTTTTTAACTTACTGCTCCAACAATTTATACACATTTAATAGTATCTTTTAACTATATTTTATAACTTAGAACTAGTAAAAATATTTATTTGGAAAAGAGTTGCAGCTGATCTCCGGCAGCTCCTCTTAAAAAAGACGTTTTGCGGTAACCACTATACAAGGTGTGTTCAAAAAGTAAGGTGATATCAAATTTCTCGGGCAACATATTGTCGATTATCAATTTTTTTGTTTTGTTATGTTGGTACACTCTTCGCTAACATCTGTACCAAGTTTCAAGTGAATCCCCTCTTCTTTTTATGGTTGTGAGAGGCGTAAAGGTTACAAGTAGTTTTGCGTGCTCGTCGATTTTTTGCTATCACAAAAAATATGGATCAAAGGATTTGCATCAAATTTTGTGTAAAAAAAAGAATTAAGTGCCCCGAAACACTTGAAATGTTGATAGTGCCATACGGTTAAACTGTCCTGAGTAAAAAAAAAATGTTTACAAGTGGTACAAACTCTTCCAAGATGGCCGGGAAGATGCCAATGATGAGCCTCGTTCTGGACGCCCAATCACGTCAACAATTGATGAAAAAGTTCAAGCAGTGATGAAAATTGTTTTGAAAAATCGTCGAATCACTATTAGAGAAGTTGCTGAAGATGTCGGTATATCGCTTGGCTCGTGCCATTAAATTTTTTCAAACGTTTTGGGCATGAGACGTCTCAGCGAAGATTGTTCCGAAATTGCTGAATTTTGACCAAAAGAAACGTCGCATGAGCATAGCTCAAGAGCTGTTAAATAACGTCGACGACGACCCAGATTTACTCAAAAGGGTCATAACTGGTGACGAATCATGGGTATATGGTTGTGATATCAAAACCAAAGCCCAATCGTCCCAATAGAAGAGCCCTTTGATCCATATTTTTCGATAGCAAAAAATCGCCGAGCACGCAAAACAACTTGTAACCTTTACGCCTCTCACAACCAAATAAGAAAGGGGATTCACTTTAAACTTGGTACAGATGTTAGGGAAGAGTGTACCAACATAAAAAAAAATCGATAATCGAAAATATGTTGCCCGAGAAATTTGAAAAGTCACCTTACTTTTTGAACACACCTCGTATGTCGGAAATGGATCATCCGAAATTAAACAAGAAATGAAGCTAAATTCGGCACGCCGAAGTTTATATACCCTTGCAGATAGAACTTCGATGACTAGGAATCCATGCAATATAAAATATATATATTAATATATAAAAACAATGAAGTAATTCCTGCTTTCATTTCATTCACCTATACATATTATATTTTCAGTTTTACATTCAAAGATTTGCCTTTTTGCTCCACATCTAACGATCGTTTATATGGCACCTATATGATATAGTCGTCCGATTTTTATAAAATTTGACACAAAATTTAAGACTGATATAAAATGGCTATATCTCAAATTTAATGAAAATCTGCTGAAAACTGAAAACGTTATAATTTTTAATTGTATTCATTTTTGATCGTTCCTATGGCAGCCGGGTTTTTTATAACTTTACACAAAATTGTTGATTAAAATAAAATGGGTATATCTCATATTTGATGAAAATCTGGTGAAAACTGAAGAAGTTATAATCTTTAATTTTATTAATTTCTTTTTTTTATAAAATTGCTATGTATCAAATTTGATGAAAATCTGTTGAAAACTGAAAATGTTATACTTTTTAATTGAATTAATTTCTCGATCGTTCCTATGGGAGCTATAAGATATAGTCGTCCAATTTTCATAAAATTTTTCACAAAACTGTAGAATAATATGAAATGGCTATATCTTAAATTTGATTAAATTCTTTTGAAAACTAAAAATGTTATCGCCACCGCGATTGTCAGTCTTCCAACAACTGCCACCGCCATTCTCATTTACACAAAATTGTAAAATAATATGATACGGCTATATCTCAAATTTGATGAAAATCTGTTGAAAACTGAAAATGTTATACTTTTTAATTGAATTAATTTCTCGATCGTTCCTATGGGAGCTATATGATATATTCGTCCAATTTTCATAAAATTTTACACAAAATTGTAGAATAATATGAAACTACTAAATCTCAAATTTGATCAAATTCTGTTGAAAACTAAAAATGTTATAATTTTTTTTGTAATATTCCGATCATTCCTATGGCAGCTATATGATATAGTCGTCCGATCCGGCCCGTTCCGACATATATACGAGTGAGAGCATATAGAAGACTTACTGCAAAGTTTCATTTAGATAGCTTAAAAACTGAGAGACTAGTTTGCGTAGAAACGGACAGACGGACAGACGGACATGGCTAGATCGACTCGGCTTTTGATCCTGATCAAGAATATATATACTTTATATAGTCGGATGTGCCTCTTCCACTGCGTTGCAAACTTCTGACTGAAATTATAATACCCTGCAAGGGTATAAAAACCAAACAGATTTCGTGAAAGTAATGTGAATCTAGTAATTAATCGAAGGAATAAGCAAAATAAATTGTATTAACAAAATGGCAGTTTCGCAAAACAAATCGATTTTTTATCGAAATTTCCGTCTTAAATTTTTTATATGAATTTTATATGAAAACATTTAGAAGAACATAAAGTTATAATTTTTTTAAACGACTTAAGGTTCCTGAAATAAAAATATAGGACACTACATTTTATCGTCTAAAATTTTTTATAAAAAATGAAATATTTATTGGAGAGAATTACTAAAAAATATAAATATAAAATATATATTTCGGTGAAAAAAACGCGTTTAAAATTTGGAATGCACTTTACGCAGGAGCACTTTACATAGAGCACTCTGAAACTCCTTTTCAAATTTACTTATAACTCAGGGAATAATCACCGGAACTAAATGAAACTTTCTGTGTATATTCTTAAATATTTAAATATTCTTAAATACATTAAGAAAATAAAATAAAATAAAAATCGATTTTTTTTTAATTCTAACTAATAAAAAAAACTAAAAATTTATGTGGGCGTTCAGATATATTCGTAAGAATACGTGTGCACGTGAGCTTTTTCATGTTGAAACAAAATTAGATGGCCTTATCTCGAGAGTGCTCTCTTTAAAACGTGGTGTTGTTATTCAGTTTAACGATTTATCTGATTTTTATCTGAGAACTACAAAACTAAATCATTGGTTTGCCGTAGAGTGTACTCTTTCTGGCCTTTTCCAATTGGCAGATCAACGATAACATTAGCATCCACAGAAAAATGCGAGAGCATTCAAGCCACCAAGTAATTAGCCGTTTCGGGATTCAAACAGGTAATAACATGCATTTATGTTGCAAGCAGATCAACGACTTTGGGTCGTGGCATATGCGGATCGTATTGTATATTTTCATTAGTTCCTCTTCCTTGTCTTCTAAAAAAGGATTAATACTAATACTTATGTTTGATACATAAACAAGGCTTCTCGATGTACAGTGGCTCACAGCTTATTTGACCCACTCCTAATTTTCAAAATAAAAGAGGTATAACTTTTAATTAATGATAAAGCGATATTTTTACTTAAGTCATATAATATTATTTATTAAATTTAGTCAACAACTTATTAAATAATTACAGCCTATTTGACCCACAGAATTCCGAGAACGATTTCGTTCCCTGAAAAGTAAGATAAACTGTTTTTTTATCCTTATTTAAATTACATTCCTAACTATGTATGCATATTTATCACTTTGAGTAAGATTTGATCGCGAAAGCACGCGTAACGACGATGGGAAAGCGCACAACTATTGAACAACATGAATGAAATGGTCAATTTACCCGATGGGGATTGTTAAAGCCATAATACATCGTTTTGTTTTCGAAAATCGTATCGAAAGTAAAGGCAGAAAATCTCCAGACAAAAATTTAAGTGCCTCCGATTGTTACAAAAGTCATTAAAAATGGAAAAATATCGAGACCAAATATTGCCAGTGAGGTGCAGAATATGACAAGGAAGTCTTGTTGCCTTGAAACCATCCGCCGTGTTCTCCGAAATATTGATTTTCACGGTAGAGGTGCACGAAAGAAGCCGTTTATAAACAAAAGAAATCGAGATTGTTGTTTGATATTTTCAAAGGAGCACCTCGGGAACAGGAAGGATTCTGGGTTCTGGATTGAAGTCATTTTCGCTGATGAGTCAAAATGTAATATTTTTGGGTCCGATGGACGGACCTATGTATGTCGTAAAGCGGATAAAGAGCTGCAGGACAAACATCTTAAACCAACCGTTAAGGAAGGGGGGGGGGGGTTATGTTATGGTATGGGCCTGTATGTCCGCTGTAGGAATTGGAAGCTTTCAATTTATTGAAAGCATAGTGGTTAAACACGTTTGTCTTAATATCCTGAAGGGTAAACTAGTCCAAAGCTGAAAAATTGGGTATTCAAGAAAAATACCAGGACAATGACCCAAAGCATAAGGCGGGAATAGTTCACTTTTGGCTTGGATATCAATGTCCCTACGTTATGAAACCGCCAGCTCAGTCAAATTAAAATAAGTAGTAATTATAGTAAATAACTTAAATAATTTGTCCCCCAATGCAAGCGCTAGCCGCTAAGTATAGCTGTGACGTCATAAGCAAGTGAGCCGCCGCTTCGGCGCACTCGCTGTGGCCGTCCGCAATCTATGAAAACACGCATACAAACGTGTAAGCGCTTGTACACATATACACATATACAAAGAAATGAGAGCACAGCGCAAAGAAACGCACCCCTGCTTATCGTTCCACGGTCGATCTGCCACTGAAAAGTAAATTCTTGTTGTGCTCGGTTTCGAACGAATGCTTCGAACTCGAAAAAGCCGAAGGCACTCTGGGGTTCTAGACATATCGTTCGGGTGCTCTGGGGTTCCAGGCTCAGCCGTTTTTGTGATAGTACTTTTTTGTACTGTTTGACTTCTCTATGTATTTCT